GGTTGGTAGTGATAGTGATGGGGTTACGACAGTGATGGGTGATGGCAGTGAGCAACAGTGGTTGTGGGGCGACAACGGTGGCGGGTGGCAGTGGGCAACGGGTGGTGGTGGGTTATGGTAGTGGGTGGCGGTTGGGTGGTGATGATGGGATAATGGTGATAGTTGTAATAAATATAAGAATGAGATTATCATGGTGGTAGTGGTGGTGAGTGACAGTTATAGTAATTGATAGTGGGTGACGACGATGGTGGTAAGTGATGAGTGGTGGCGGTGGCGATAGTGGTGGTAATGGTAGTGATTGTGGCAGAAATGGTGGTGAGTGACAACGATGGTGGTGGTATTGGTGATGGTGGTGGGGTGGCAGTAGCGGTGGTGGGGCGACGATGACGACGACGGTAGCAATGGTGGTTGCGGGAGAGGTGGTGGTGGGGTGGCAGTAGTGGTGATGGTGGTAGGAGTTGAGCGAAAGTGATTGTGGTAGGGTGGCAACAACGGTGGTGCTGGCGTGGCGGTGGTAATGGTGGGGGCAGTGGTGGTGGTTGTGGGGCAACAGTAATGGTGGCTACGACGGTGAAGGCGATGGTAGGATGGCGACAACGGTGGTGGTGATGGGGGGTAATGGTGGCGATAGTGGTGGTGGACAACAGTGATGGTGGTGGCAACTGTGGGTGACAATAGTAATGATAGTGGGCGCTGATGATGGTGGTTGGTAGTGGTGGTGGTGGGATTACGACAGTGGTGGGTGGTGGCAGTGGATAATGGTGGTTGTGGGGTGACGACGATGGTGAGTGACGGTGGGCAACGGGTGATGGTTGGTTATGGCAGTGGGTGGTGATGGTGAAATAATGGTGGTAGTGGTAATAAATATAAGAATTAGATAATCATACTTGTAGTGGTGGGCAACGGTGGTAGCAATCGGTGGTCGGTGACGACAATGGTAGTGAGTGATGGGTGGTGATGGTATTGGTGATGGTGGTGGGGTGGCGATAACAGTGGGGAGGTGGGGCGGCGACGACGACAACGACAACGATAGTGGTTATGAGAGAGGTGGTAATGGGGTGGTGGTGATTGTGGGGCGACGGTGGTGATGGCGATGACGTTGAAGGTGGTGGTAGGATGGTGGCAACGATAGTGGGGTAGTGGTGGCGATAGTGGTGGGGCAGTGGGGTGGTGGTGGTGTTATTGGTGGTGGCGCAAGAGGATGGTGGTGGAGCCATTCCAAACACTTTTTTTTTAAGTGTTTGTTAGAAACATTTTTAAAAAGTCACTCCAAATATACATTTAGGGAGCCTATTATCCCTTTTAAATTTATGGCGTTAATTTTTCATCAGATTAACTTTAAAATAAAATTTAAAATAATTTAAACCACGAAAAGAAAAAATTATTTTATTTATCTTTTGACATTTAAATTATATTGTACTTTATTATATTGATTATTCTAAAAACTACTTCTTTGTCTCTCAGCTCTCTCACTTACTTACTAATCAACGATTTTCTCTCTCTCCCTCTTTCACTTCTAAATTGTATTCATAATTCAGTGTCAATATTTACCCTCATTTTTTACAATGGTTTCCCTTTTTTAACCCTGGAACATTACTAATTTGCACTACCACATTATCTACACACGAAACAAAAAACGAAAGCATGTCATTATCATCTCTATCACCACATACCCACTTTCTATCTATAAATCTATACATACGGTATGTATGCAACAGATGACAACGAAGTCCTCTGGTGACCACTTGTTCCCGAGGAATCATAAAATATCAAAGCCCATGGAGGAGTTCACCAGAAAGCTACCATTCTATGGTGAGAAATATTGCTCAGCACTTTAAGACTGGCCTCATGTCCCAGAGATTTTATTGTTGATACTCTCCAGAGGTCATCAAGATGTTCCAGAGACTTCTCTTACATCTATTGGGTGGAAATAGATCAGTAGATGTCTTTCCATAACCTTGATTTCTTCACTTGGATTGGCTTGACATAGAAGTGATATATCAAGAGAGAGAGAAGGAAGAAGAATATCTAGACTTGCACTTGATTAGATGATTGAAAAAAGTAGGGTGATGTTATGTTTATCAATTTTTTATCTCAAATGATGTGACACAGTTTTTTATCATTAGATAAGTTGATCTTATTAATATTCAATAACAGAAATTGTGCCACATTATTTAGTTCATAAGGTTTAGTAAAACAAAATTGTAAGTATAACATTTTCGAAAAAAATATCCATAGCTTTGAATTCTTGGTCAAAGTATCAGTTAATTACAGTCATTTAGCCTCTTTTAGTCCTCGGGAAAAAATTCTGAGATCTTTTTTATCCATCTTAAAATATAAGTGAGATTGATTTCACATGAAATTGTCATATTATCTAGGTGAATTAGAATTTAGGGCAGATTGCAATGCGACGACAATAAACTAATTTTTAACTTTTTTAAAAAAAAATTAGGGCAAACTTCATTTTACTTTCTTGTGGTTTGACTTGCTTGCACATCACCTCCGTGGAGTTTTAAAACAACACATAACCCCTTGTGATTGTTGGACTAAAATGCACTACTTAGCTCTGTTAACAGTAAAACTAAAATGACTTTTTTCCCTTTTCTTCTTCTCCAGTGATGATTGATCACTATTTCACCAAGCTTTTTCACTTCTTCTCCGACATACCCATTTTCGACACAACACTTTCTTCTCCAACAACCCCAACATTTCAATTCCAAAATTGAATTCAAATCACCAAACACTAGGTTTATCAAAATTTGACACGACATGAATTAAGCGGGTTTGGGTAAGAGCTTAACGAGTTTGGGTAGTAAACGGATTGACTTGTCAGACACATTTAATAAACAGATCTTGATCGAAAGAGACATGTAACCGTTTTTTTGTTTAAATAAATATATATAATGACGAATGAGTAAAGAAAAAACTTTTGATAATTCGATTTTATGAAGAGAAAAGGAAATGGAAATGTGTGCAACATTAAATTTAGTGACATTGTCACGCCCTGAATTTCCACAAATCCGGGGAGTGAGTGAAAATAGAAAAGAAAAGTAAATGAAAGGTCATTAGGTTGGATAAATTAGTTTCTCATTCATTTTTCATGTTTTCCCAAAATTTTTCAAGTCATTTTTCTTTCATTTTTAGCCTATTTCTTCAAGATTTCTAAACCTCCCTTTTAACATCCTTCCTATTTATTTAAAAGGTGTTTTACACACTTAACAAGTCTTTTAATTTTTCATAAAATTTTGACATAACCTCCTTTGTTTCCAAGCCTTTTTTTCACCTAATATTCATAATATTTTATATGCATAATTATATCACAATCCACCCTCACTCAGTAGCCACAATCCTTGTAAATTAAACATACATATCTTATTCTCAACATATACATTTAATTGTCCCAATATACACATATGATACTCATTAAATAAATACTTCCCAAATATTAATTGAGTTTACACTCTTACACATTAAAATGGTCCAAGACCTTTAATCCACTACTTTTTCAAACTAGAATACAAGTCATTTGGACTTATGCCCATATATACAAAATATGTCCAATGGCCAAATATACATTCAAGTCCCATTCCTCGCCTTCCTCTAAGACTTCCTCAAGTCTCAAGTGTCGAAAATCTCATCTGTAATATGATATCCTACGAATAGGTCAGTTCAACTGCTGGTATGACAAAATGCTAATACTAGGAACAAATTTAAGGCGTGACATGTGCAAGTGTATATTTATAAAAGCTACAACCCCATAATCTCTCAATGCTATGCAATGTCAATATGCATGACACACCCATACAACTCTATGTCATCCATGTCTCACTTCACAGTCCGCCCCCGTCAGCCCGTAAATACTGTCATTGGTCAGATTTTGGGTTTTTTTACCACAGGATCTACACTCTCATAATGCATAGCACCAAGTGCTCAACCCACATTATGTTCCAAGGATTCATGTATGCCAAGATGCCATGACTTTCCTCAATGTAATTTCTATGAAACATTCCATCAAACACCTTATCTACATGAATGTGAAGCACCATTCAACGAATTCAAACATATGATCAAGCTTCATATTCATTACTTTCACAATTTCTCAAAAAAATTACAAATACACAAACTACCAACTCATGTAATAAATCATAACTCTCAAACCACAAAAGTTTCTGTACATGAACATAAGTTATAATAAAATAATCCAACACATAAGCAATATACATCTTCACCATAACAACAAATTTTCAAGAAACTCGAAAAATACAAAAGTACTTAGACCACTAATTCTAAGTTTTCAATGCAATTACCAACTAAATAATTTTCTAACATCAAGTAAAAACCTAAATCATTCAATCATCACATAGGAAGGCAAGAAAACTTAAATCTATTCTCAACTTAGCAAAATATCATACCTAAAATAATTTTTCTCAAATCAAAGAAGTTGTGTTTGCTTTATAGCCAAACTGATCAGCGAGAATATAACTCTTGTTAAGAGGAACAACTTCTTAGAAGGAAGTCTTATAAGAATCTTGGTCTAGGATTGAGTTTTGGTGGCTTGAAGTTTGAAGAACCTAGGATTTTTCTTCCCTTTTCCTCCAAAAAACGTGTACTGACCCTTCCCAGCCCAAAAACAATGATATTTTTACACTAAAAGACTATATTTATAGTGGAGGGCAAAAGTACAAAAAGATCATTTTACCCTTGATGAATTTGGGACTCCGTTACACTACAACTCGTCCCGAAACACCTCAATTCGACATTTTATTTTAACCAAAGTTTTTAAAATTATTTTAAATAAAATTTTTTAAAAATATATATTTTTGCTAGTGGCTGGGTTTGGCCGGTCCCACCTAGCCCGCCCGGGATACCCTATTTGTCCAATTTTTAAAACTATTTTCGTTTAAGCTTAATTTCGCACAGTATATGTATTTTAACATTCTAAATATGTTTCTCTTCTATGACATACTCAAATTATACTCATAAACATGACTTATGCCTAAATGATGTATATGTAGTGTCCTATTGACAAATGATGCATAAATAGTGCTCTGCCAGCAAAACTGAAAAATTTATCCTCACTTTTTAGATCTCTACAGACATCACTGGAACTTGCTGAAAAGACAACCATAAATCAATCAAATTCAGTCCATTCAATTCGGTATAGGTCTCCAAATGGACTCAGATCACAAAACAACCAAAAACCAAATTCAAATGACATTTTATCTGAAAGGGTATTGAAATCTGTTTTCCCTTTATCAGATAATTCATCTTCAAGGTTGGTGAAGAACTCCGATAAGCAACGATAGAAAGAGAGTATGAATTTATTTTGGAAAAAGGAGAGGAGACAGAGAAAGAAGTCTTTTAGGGCAGCATGGGATGGTTCAGAGGAGTCGAGGTAGGCACAAGGGCGATAACCGTTGGTGAAAGAGGTGCAGGGAATGAAAGTTCTGTCAAGAACGATGTCGACTTTAGGGTTTGAAGCCATGAATGGACCTGGTGGCATGTTGGTTGATCTGAAGACTTCGAAGAAGGGTAGTCCATAGGGATGACAATGAACAAAAAAAAATGGGTATTCGCCCAAACCCGCCCCCTTTGAACCGAGGATGGACTACACGTTTTTGACTGTGGATGTATACGGGGATCCTCGTATAAATCTGTGCAGGGATAAAGGCGAGGATGAACTTACCCTTACCCTCGCCCCGTATATTTATACTCTCAGATAAAGCCCTAAGCCCCTAATTTACTCTCTTCTTTCTTTATCAGCCACCCGCCTCCATTGAGTCATCTCTCTCTCTCTCTCTCATTCATTTCTACAACATTGTGGCAGTTGATCTACGAGAAGCTCCCAGCCGATATTGCTAGCCACCATGAGTTGTTGCTTGACCCAGTTCTCGCATCAAGTTAGATACACCAAAATAGTTTTTAGTATGAATGATACACTTTTGTGCTTTCATTTATAGTTTCCAAATAGTTTTTCTTTCAGTAATTTATATGTTTATATGGATACATATTTAAAAATAATGTCTCACAAGGTTGATCAACATTGCCATCTTATTTGTGCTGATAACTATATTGATTTAGTCATGTTTGCTTTTACTGATTTAGTCACGTTATAATGCTTGGGGATTCTGTTGTGGATTTTGGGCATGGGTTATCATATTTAGCCTAGAATTCTTCATTGGATGTTGATTAAAATCATGGGTTTTGCTATTTGTTGTCTTATGTCGATGACTAAAAGTGACAACAACAAAAAAAAATAGAGTAATGGGTGGATTGGACTGCAAAATCCTATATTTGAAATTTGTTTTGATAGATTTAAAATCATGGGAAAGATTATTGTTACTTATGGTAATGTGCTGCCTAGAGACCATTGTGAAGACGTTTTCTCTAATAATGTGGCCATTGACTTGGACAACGCTTCGAAAAATAGCTGAATGGCCTGCCACTTGATGGGTGCCAGTCACGTTGTGATTGTGAATCTTGTTAGCTGAAGATAGAAATTGTCAATATCCGCTAACTCGTTGGCTTACACCAAGTTGTCCAAAAGTTTGCCTTGAAGGATCATGCAAATAAATGCGGCCATTTTTGTTATAGGCAACCAGTTGATTGCCCACAAAGCCACTATCTTGCACATTGTCCACCCTAGAACTTGCATGATTTATCAATTGATGATTTTCAAATTTTACATTTTAGTGTTGTCAAAAGTTGGGAACCAGTCTGCCATGGAGACTAGAGAGAGTAGTGTTATCAAAATCAGACTGGACTGGCCAGTCGAACCGATTCAACTGTGACCCAGGACCCCAACCTGTCCTGTTGACTAGTTAAACCTCATAAGGAAGGGAACCACGTAAAAACTATCAAATCGGCCGATTTTTGGAGAATATCGTGAATCGGACGATTTTTAAAAACCGGACCAATTTGAAGTCCATAAAAGAAAAAAATGAAATTTGAACCTGCTGTTTTTAATTTGGGCCATTTTCATTTTTCCCTAAATAGCTAAAGGTAGAGAACGAGGAATGAGGTAGACCAGTGCTCTTCGTCTCACCAGGGAGGCAGCGATCAGTGCTCAGGTATCTCACCAGCGACACAACAAATTATGATCTCAATAGAATCAAAGAAAGAAGAGGAATATCAAAGATTGACCTCTTATGATCTCAATAGAATCAAAGGAACAATCTTGAAAGAGCTAGCCCTTTCAAAATCCCCATTTTAGGGGGTTTAAGAGGAGACCCAGAATCGAAAGAAGGGAGAAAGGTTAGAGAAAATCCAAATGGGCAAACGAGAGAGATAGAGAAGGCGTGTGATTGTGAAATTGAGTGAGAGATAGTGAGATTGCTTTATCCAAAAGGAAAAAAAAATGAAGAAATGAGTAAATTGTGTAAGATGAAAGGAGTGTTGCAGTGCATTAAAGGACAGGATGACTAATATTATTTTTGCCATAAAATAATATTTTTGTTCATTAATTTTATGGCAAATTGTATGCATTTTAGGCATATTTTATGTTTTTTAGCTAAATTATTATGTTTTATAATTATTATATATATATGTTATTATTTTTTTATTATGTGACCGATCCGACCAGTTGACCTAAGGGTTGAATCAGTGAATCATTGACCCGGTCCCCCTGTCGGTTCGGTGACCGGTCCAATTTTGATAATATTGAGAGAGAGAGAGAGAGAGGATAACAAAGCAGGAAAAGGGGTTGAAGAAGAGCTTCTTTAAGCAGAGGTGACATTTAGAATTGACTGTTGAGGTGAACTGCTATGGATTGTCTTATATAGAGAAGCTCTTGTACATTTTTGTTTGGTTTGGCTTTGGATTTTTGGTAATTAGACTGTTCTCAAGTACCATAAATGCTGGATAAGAGTGAATCTATTTAGTAATGCATAGAGAGTAAGTAACATATATGAAATTGTTGTTTGCATTCAATTCTTGGTAGTCATAGTTCTGTATCATTGTGTTATCTTGGTAGTCATATTTCTTGTTAAGAACATTTGTCCCACCTTTACTTGTTATTTAGCTTTTATCTGATGATCCTGGTTTTGTTGCACAGAAACTTTAAATGTATTTTTCTGATATATTTGGTTTTGTTTTCCCCATCTGTTGTAGGTTGAGAGAACTACACACACTGAAAGGTCGTGTTGAATCAGTGGTGTGAGGGATCGACCTCCCCATTACCGGGGATATACCTCCCTCCAAGAGCAATCCTCCCCATTACCGGGGATATCCCGCTCTCCATCAAAGGATTTCGGCTGACCTGCGAGGCAAACCCCCACAGTAGCCTTTACCTATGTCCCACATCGGGGAAAGAGTCGTCTCCCCACCCCCATATAAGCCGAAGCACCATATGAGAGCAGTACCCAAGTAGCACAGTGTGGTACTTAGGTACTGCTCTCATATGATGCTTCGGCTTATATGGGGGTGGGGAGACGACTCTTTCCCCGATGTGGGACAGAGGTAAAGGCTACTGTGGGGGTTTGCCTCGCAGGTCAGCCGAAATCCTTTGATGGAGAGCGAGATATCCCTGGTAATGGGGAGGATTGCTCTTGGAGGGAGGTATATCCCCGGTAATGGGGAGGTCGATCCCTCACAAGTGGTAAGATTAAAGGGTCTCGACATAGAAATGATACAACAATCTTACACTGTCTGAGGAGATAAACCTATTTGATAGTTGCCTTCTACCCTTCCTGAGAAAGAGGACATAATCAACCATAGCTGTGAGTTACCATTGAAAAACCGTTCAATTATTGCAACATTGTTATCCATTTTTACACTTATTGCTCTTGTTGGCACTTGTTCATTTGAATTTTATTCATGTCATAGTTCTCAACATAGCACTTGATAAGAGTTTATTGTTTGCTTTGGTTTCTCCTTAGTTGATTTTTACATATAGTTGATTAAAAGCAATGGAAGGAGAAGAAGTGAGAAATAATATGTCAACTCCTGAAACTTCTGCAACACCGGGTGAAAGCAACCAACTTCCAATCTCAATTGATAAAAATCTTGATATTGATGATGAAGTATATTGTTTTAGTTAAAAATTTCTCTGTAAAAAATCTAATTTTTTTTCTTTTAATGGTATAGGGAAATGATATTTAAGAAGTAGATTCTACCACTACCGATGGTGTTAAAAGATGATTGAGTTGGTATTTTTCAATTTCAACCAATCAATTTTATTAATAAATACAAAATATTTTTATGCAATTATTATAGTTTTTTATTTTTATGTTTTATTTTTTTTATTAAATTACAGGTGTGGAGCTACATAACAGAAAAGTTCTCTATTACGTTGTTTGTGTTATGTTGTGTTATGTTGAATTATATCAAATTCAAGTAGTATTTTGGACATTTGTTGTTTGTGTTATGTTGGAATATGTTATACTACAATATGTTATGTTAGATTATGTAGAATGTTGTTGCCTTGTTGGATTATTTAAAATGTTAAATTTATTTAGAATTTTAGATTATGTTGGTTTGAACTTGGGCTTGGGTGGGTACGGGGGAATCGAGGACAGGGACAGGGACGGAGATTAGAAATTTACCCGCGGATAAAAATGGGGATGAAAATTATACTCATTAACGGGAGTGGAATGGAGATGAATAAAAGTTTTTTAACTGAGTACGGTGATGAAGACTATACTCCCAGCCCCGCTTCAGTCCACTGACATCCCTAGTAGTCCATAGCTGCCGGCAATTTCTCAGAAGGGAAGGTTTGGCGGTGGCTCATCGGCGGAAGAGTGTTGGTAGTTGGCGGAGTAAGAGGAAGAGAAAGACATTGTTTAGGGTTTGGTTTGCATATACATATTGAATAAACCAATGGTTGAGCCTCAAAGTTTGAGGCATTGAATTGCCTTTCTTTAGTCCCACATCGACAAAGGAGTGGAGAGGGGATGCTTTAGTTGCCTATAAAAAAGGTAGTGGACCTTCTCATTTTAGCTAACCTTTGTGGTGTGGCTTTCAAGTGAGTTGTTGGTTGGAATTCTTTTAATGGAGGAAAGTACAGCTGGAAGCAAAGAAAAGAAATTGAGTGTAAATATTTGTTAAAATAATAATTTTTTTTTTGTTTTTTTTTGGTCGTATTTAAACGGGTTAAACGAGTCGTGTCATGTCGTGTTACCCGTTTATCAAACGATTTGTGTTCATATTAAAATTTTATATTCATTTATTAAATGTGTCGTGTATGAGTTTATATATTTTTCATCTATCACCCATTTAACCCGATACTATTAACACCCCTACCAAACATCCACTGCACCACAAATCATTGCACCTTCACCACTCACTACAACAGCACCCACTGCAATGACACCAATTATGACGTAAAAAACTCAAAGCTAAGTCAGCCATCTCCATTGTATACAACCACCACAAAACAGTCCAAAAATGCAAAAAAAGAAATTGAATTGATATGAAATCGGACCAAATCGCAAACAAAATCGAACAAAAAAAATTGAATGAATCAAAAATTAGACCAAACTAGATGGATTGAACCAAAATCAAAATTGAACTGATAATGAATCAAAATTGAAAATTGAATGAATCTAAAAAAAATTGAACCAAAGAGATTGGTGTCGGCTTTTGATGTCCATCATTGATGTATGTGCAATCCTAGCCAACTCAAATGTCAATGAGGGTTTATCTGAAGAAATGAATATCGATGGTGATAGTGTGAAGAAAAAAAGTGTGGTGGGTGTTGGTGGTTAATCGGTGAAAGATAAAATGGGTGATCTAGTCATGAAAATGGGAGATGGGTAGTGGTGGCTGACATTTGTTGATTGGGAGGTGGGTGACTGTGGTCATCATGGTTGGTAGTGGTGACTGTCATGGATCGTCGAGTCTATTGAGAGAGATATGGAAGTTTGGGTACAGAGAGAGAGAGAGAGAGAGAGAGCGTTGAGGGTTTTTTTAGTCTTTTTGACATTTTTTTTAGCCCAAACGGTAGAGCATGCAGGTTAGAGCATCTACAACCCTTACCCCTTTTTTGTATCCTTTTTTAAAAAAGGGTAAAAAAAACTCTTAAAATCTTCTTCAATGCTAGGGTCATACTCATATCAAATGAAGGAAAACTCTTTTTTAAACTCAAATCAAGAGAGACTCAAATTCTTATCATTTTCACCAATGGTGATATTACACCCTTCTTTAAAGATCCAACTGTTATATTTACCCTCTTTTAAATTTGAATTTGTCCTCATTTAAAAAAAAATTCCCTTTTTTAAATTTTAGTTTCTTCATTGGAGAAGTCTATATCAAATTAAGTTTTTTACCCTTTTTTTTACTCAAATTTGGGTAAGGGTTTAGATCTCTATTGTAGATGGTCTTAGTTGTACGCACTGTTAAATTGGATGAAAAACGTCACAATACATTTTAGTATATTAACCACATGGGAGTTATGTGCTATTTTAAAAGGACTAGTTATTTTCCGTGCATGAAGGCATGAAGTAATAAAAAAAAATTGTTAACAATAAAAATATTTGTATTCACATCCAAAATTAAATCACAAACATAGAAAAAAGAGAAAATAATTTAAATATCGATTGTAGTGAGGGTGAGCGGTGGTAGTGATGGTGAGAAACGATGATGATTGTGGTGAGTGACGACGACTGTGGTGGTGGTGGTTGGCAACGGTGATGGTGATTTTTTGGTGACGATGAGGTAGTGATAGCCTTAGGTGACAGGGGTAGTGGTGGGTGACGGTGATGGTAGTTGGCAATGGTGGTGGTGGCGATGGTGGGTTGTGGTGGTGGGCGACGACGGGTGCTTCTAGGCAACAGTGTGATAGGTAATAACAAAAGGCAGAGGTAGTTGTAGTGGTGGTATGTGTGGTAAGAGTGGGTGACAGTGGGTGGTGGCAATGGTTGACGATGACAGATGGTAGCGGTAGGTGTGGTTGGAGTAGGTGACAATGGTTGTCAGCGATGGTGGGTGACGAAGGGTGGTGGTGGGTGCTGACAGTGGACTACGGTGGTAGTGGGATGATGGTGATATTGATAATAAATATAAAAATCAAAATGATGACGGTGGTGGGCGGCGATGATGGTGGTAAGGGTGGGGGTGATTGGTGGTGGGGTGACAGTGGTGGTGGCAGCGGTGGTGGTCATTGGAGGTTGTGGTGGGGCGATAGTTGTAAGGGTAATGATGAAACAGTGGCGGTGGTAGTAAGGTGCAACAATAGTGGTGATGGAGGTGGTGGAGGTGGTGATTGTGGGACAATTGGGGTGGTAAGGTGGTTGCAGCAGTGGTGGTGGTTGTAGGGTGGCACCAACAATGGTGGTGGAGCAGTGGAGGTGGTGGTAGTTGAGACGGTGGTGGTGGGACGGTGGGTGTGGTAGGGTGGCAACGGTGGTGATAGCGGCGACAATGGTGGTGATGAAGATGGTAATTATGGTGATGGAATAACGAAGATGGTGGTAGTGTAGGGGATAGTGGGACAATTTCAAATACTATTTTTTTTAAAAAAATTCTTAAGAAGTTATAAATTATGGAAACACTTTTAAAAAGTCATCACAAACACTCTTAAAAATTTATTTTTTCTATTAAATTTAAAGTATTAAGATTAACCCTTAAATTAATTTTAAAATAAAATTTAAAGAGATTTAACTGTAAATAGTAAAAATTATTATTTTTATTTTTAAAATTTAAATTATATTATATTTTATTATATAGAGAAGGAGGTGATTTGCAAAAACATCAAATTTAAGTTTGGCCAAAAATTTTATTTTGAGATGTCGCGTAACCTCAACTCCAACAGTACATTTGAGTCCCTTAACTGTCCTTCGGACCTAATTGAGAGAAAAAAAACCCTCGTTCCACTTGCACGTGAAAGAAGTCGATTCTCTCTTTCCCTCTCTTCTTGCATTCGGTCGTCTGGTTCACACTCCACAATCGGAGACGGAGGCAGTGCTATTCTACTTGACTTCGCTGTGAGAGCTACTCATCCATCAATTAAGGTCGAGATAGGAAATTTCTGAGTTTTTGTTGGTGTTGAGTGATGGGGGCTAGTAGTGATCCGAACCAGGACGGGTCCGACGAGCAGCAGAGACGATCGGAGATCTACACATACGAGGCGCCTTGGCACATATACGCTATGAACTGGAGCGTCCGCAAGGACAAGAAGTACCGTCTCGCCATAGCCAGCCTTCTGGAGCAGTTCCCCAACCGGCTGGAGATCGTCCAGCTTGACGACTCCAATGGTGAGATCCGCTCCGACCCGAACCTCTCCTTCGAGCACCCATACCCACCCACCAAGGCCATCTTCATCCCCGACAAGGAGTGCCAGAAACCGGACCTTCTGGCCACCTCCAGCGACTTCCTCCGGGTCTGGCGAATCGCCGACGACAACAGCCGCGTGGAAATGAAAAGCCTCCTCAACAACAACCGTAACAATGAGTACTGTGGTCCCCTCACCTCCTTTGACTGGAACGAGGCGGAGCCCAAGCGCATTGGCACATCCAGCATCGACACCACCTGCACCATTTGGGACATCGAGAGGGAGACCGTCGACACGCAGCTGATCGCCCACGACAAGGAAGTCTACGACATCGCTTGGGGTGGTGTTGGGGTCTTCGCCTCTGTCTCGGCCGACGGATCAGTCAGGGTCTTCGATCTCCGCGACAAGGAGCACTCCACCATCATCTACGAAAGCTCCGAGCCAGATACCCCTCTTGTCCGCCTGGGTTGGAACAAGCAGGACCCCAGGTACATGGCCACCATCATCATGGACAGCGCCAAGGTGGTGGTCCTCGATATCCGCTTCCCCACTTTACCAGTCGTGGAACTGCAGAGGCACCAGGCCAGTGTGAATGCCATCGCCTGGGCTCCGCATAGCTCTTGCCACATTTGCACCGCCGGAGATGATTCCCAGGCGCTCATCTGGGACCTGTCCTCTATGGGTCAGCCAGTCGAGGGTGGATTGGATCCCATTCTGGCATACACTGCCGGTGCTGAAATTGAGCAGCTGCAGTGGTCCTCGTCCCAACCTGATTGGGTTGCCATTGCCTTCTCAACGAAGCTTCAGATTCTGAGGGTATGATTTGTGTGTACATTTTTATTTCTTAATTTGCTACCGGGGGTTTAGGATTTTTTGATAAATGGCCTTGCAAGTTTTTGTCCCTTTATCTCTCTAGATGTCGTTCTGTGATGGTACTATTACTCCATTTTGCTTTGTTTAGTTGTTTTCTTTTGCTTATTACGGGAGTCAAGTTGTTTTATACTGGGGCTTAGCAATGTGTTAGAGACATTTAACAGTAGAAGAAGTCAGGAGAGCTTATGATTATATAACGTGGCATCAGTTATGCTGTGGTTGCTCAGCAAGTCAGTAGTACACACTTGATCGCGAGAGTCATCCATCTAGACTTTAGAGTGATTGTTCTCCTCTTATGGCCAGTTCCATCATGGTGCTTTCGGACTTGCAAATTGAATTTAGCAAATAGGAAATTGGTTGGAAAATGTAATTTTCAAGTTGGTCGGGCTTTCTTATTTTCCTTCCTTTTCTTTTGTGAATTTATTTTCTTTGGTTCTGACCTTTTTCATTCTGTTTTTGTGTCCGTTTGTGTGCATGTTTTCTTTTTCATTTTTCTTTGTTTGTGAAAAAAAAGGTAAAGAAGGGGGGAAAAAGGCAAAGATTTGTCTACAACCTAATGATCCAAAGCAAAATCTTACTGAAACTTCATACTGATCAAATAGTATATTTTTGGGCTGGGTGCCCTATTTCCGTAAAGACTAAAGACTAGAAATGCCATTTGTGTTGCTAAGGAAAAAAAAGAGTGGATGCTATATACATTTTTGTGTTTTGGTTAATCATCGTGTAGGCTTGAATTGAATCCAAAATTAAGGATTTATGTTTTAAGGACACAACTCTCTGCAACGGACTCTTGTAGGCTTCTCCGTTCACCATAGTTGAAAGATCATTTTCCAGGAACTGTTCAGTGTTTTCCCCAAAAAAGACTACTAATTATATAGGCATATATGTGCGCGCACATGTGTGTGTGTATTCCCTATCTCCATCAGCTGTTAACTATCCCAATGTTTATCCCAAAAATTTCATTGTTGAATGCTCTAGCTGGCCAGCCTCTCAAGTTGGCAGGGACCAATATTACTGGTTCAGTGACTAGTGCACCTTTCTGTTACATAACGAAGCATGGTCAGTGCTATGACAGTCGAGTCTTTTCATGCCTGCATCGAACACTACTCATCAGATCAATGTTGGCCTCTTGTGACATACGCATGTATATATTGGAAGTCTTCTTTGTTGTCACTTAGTGCTACAGATTTTTGCTAATGTTGATGGGAACAGTCGAAGGTCTATCTTTGCATAATGCACAATGCTTGATGCATAGGAGATACTTAAGGTCTTGGTCTATGCTTCTTGGCTGTGTGAACAACTGTGATTGGCCTCTAGAGTGAGGAAACTGCAGGTATGTTATAGCTCAATCTTTTAAGAACACAACTTTCTGCAACTGGCCCTTTGTAGGCTCTTCCTTTCACCATAGTCAAAAGATCATTTTAAAGGAATTGTTCAGTGATTTCCCAAAAACAGTGGTATACTTACAGATAGCTTTATATTTTGCTTCAACCTCTTGTTTAGTAAAAAGAATTAGCTTTTCTGTCAAGGTGATCGGATTTAGAGGTCATTTCTTCGGCAAAGTTCTACATCATTACCAAAAGTTTTTGAGTAGATGAATAGCATAATTTGGTTGGAAACTTTGATAGTAAACTTGATACAACAGAGTATGGTGCCGAAGGTAATGTCAGGTGGAAATTTGGTATTGTAAGAAAGCTAAAACTTCATCTGTCATTTCGCGTGGCATCATGCTGTGTTCATGTCATGGTAAGTCATCAAGCTCTCTAATGAAATTTGTCGGTCTCCTGGCTGGGATGTCCTCAAGTTAGCCACAACACTAGTATTTTTTTCCCCACCACCTCACGATTAGAATGATTAGTCTTTTTGTATGATATTTACCTCTCTTATTTGATATAGTAGTTGTACTTTAGTCCCTTGTATTATAATGGAATTAACAAGCGTGGTAAGGGTATTTGAGAATATTAAGAGGCAATGAAAAAGGTTCGGAAGGAAAATGGTAGCCATTTTTTGTTTTCTGTATAATACCATGGTATGCATAGGTTAACATTAGAATAAAGTATGTATGTATGTATGTGGTTGAGGATTTTCGTTGAATGGAGGGGAAAATGAAAATGTTAGCAAGGGACTTTTGTTCCAGTGTATGGATGGATGAAAATAAAGAAGCAGCTCAATGCTCTCTCAAATCTAGTGAGACCAAAAAGAAGTATTTTGTTTGCTCAAAAAAAAAAAATTGTATTATGACATGAGGCGTTCATTCCATATAAAGTTAGAGCAATTGAAAATCAAAGGCAAGAGCTTGATTGGTAGCTTTGAACAAAGGCTGTATAGCCACGTGTTTATATTGTGTAGTCAATAGGAGCAAAATGTCTGAAAGAATGATACAAGATAATGTTATAAATTTAAACATATTGAGTTTGAATCTGAGCAATTTTTTCGAGTCAGGTCATAAAGGATTATTCTTCGTGAATACCTTAATTTCGGCGTGAATAATTTGTCTTTGATTGGACTAGAAAAAAATTAGTTGAAGTGAATATAAATTAGTCTAGACATTTTTGATTGTTAAACTGAGCCGGCCAGCCTGGCCTGTACGATACCAGTTACCACCATTACAGTTTGTGGGTTTGGATTTCAAAGACCCACCCGGCATGCCCCTCTCAAAAAGTTTTAAACAAGAGAAATCCCTAATTGTCCCTTCTCTTGTATTTAGATGTGTGGTTGATTTGCTCGTTTCCATTTCCACTACTCCAACCGTTCGAGAGATGTATATATATAGGGGTTTGGATTCTATGTCATCAAGATTTCAATGGTTCGTTCTTCCTCTCTCCTTTTCATAAATTTGGGAGGAAGACAAACTGGAAAACTCAAAACTAGAGGGTACCTTGGTGTGCGTCCAAAGGCCTGATAAAACCATGGCATCTTGCGGAACTGATTTCATCATCTTCAAGTATACGAAAGAATCAGCGGCAAGAAATTTCTCAGACAGACGTTCTGTATCTGTAACTGTAACTGTAAAGATACAACTCCTTCACAATAAAATATCCCCTCACGCCAATATCCCTTTCTTTCCTTTCCCTTCCCCGTTCTTGGAGTTATTTTTGTGGTTAAAAATTTGAACACTTCCCCATATTTGGTGCCCATTCTGGTACTTCATCAGACACCTTTATTTTTGTTTTTTTAACCCCTGATATGAAAAATAAAAGTCATTTTTTTCTTTCACTTTGTTTATGTTTCTTTCAAATTATAGTGCTAACAGTAGACTCGAACCAAAATACGACTCATTTATTATACGAATTATACAACACGACTAATATAACCCGTTAAATAAACAAATCATTAGCAAGATTGAAGAGTAAACATAATTTGGTATAAAAAATAATGACGCAAACAAGTCCAATTCTAATGCAGATTTTTTATTTTTTGGGATAGGTTATTACAACGCAGATTCACAAACCAAAGCATGAATCAAATCATCCAACGTTTTAAACAAATAATAATTTTGGGCATGATTTTCTTTTTGGGGATTTTATATACCAATTATTACACATGTTGACGAATGATAAATGGGTTAAGATACTTCACCAAACACAACTAATTTATTATGCCGGGCTGGTTTATCACGCATTAATTTCGGGTCGAATATTTGGGTCATGTTAGAATTTTATCATGCCCAGCTAAAGGGCTATCACTCAACATACATATGTAAAAACAACTAACATGTTAATTAACAAACGTCAAAAGAGACAATTTATTAAAAGAAAAAAATAGAATGAACATTATGTAAAGAAAAGAAATGACAAAACATCACACGTATGAAAATATGCACCTAAAATAATTTGTTGACATTTTCCTGTATGTTATATGAATACTGAATAGCAAGCGCCAAGCAGTCTCTTTCCCTTAGAAGTTAGAACAACCAGTGTTTCCTCCTTGGCTTATGTTGTACCGGAGCGTCTGCAAAACAGAAAAAGACAATTTCCTCCTTGGTTTATGTTGTTCGTTTCCTTTTTTATTTTTCATTTAATTTAATTTCAGGCCTAGCTACTAATGCAATACAATCAGCTTTACCGAGTAGTACATACCTTGGATTTCATAAAGTGAATTGTAATGCACCTCAGACCAGAAGCTTAACCACAGCTCTGCACCAATAAAATAATTAAATACATACTTTGGACAGAACAGATTATATAGTTCTATGAAGCTAAAGGAGCTCGAACACCCCCCCCCCCCCCCCAAAAAAAAAAAAAAAGGACCTGACATCTGTCCTTACGCATTCTATCTATCTATCTATAATATAAAACAAACAATTTCTTAGGAATAAGCTTTGAGAAATCTTCCTTCTTTAGTTTAATTATTTAATTAAATTTAAAAAAAAAAATCAATAATATTTGATATGTATTACTTGTAACTACCCATCTCTTTTTCCACCAACTACCCTCCATTTATTTAAACTTATTTGAAGAAATTATTTTTACTACCCAATAATTTTTTATCTAACTTTTGAAATGAGAAAGGGGGAATGATTTAAGAGAAAAATAATAAATAAATAAATACGAGAGAGTAAACAATATCAAGGTTCAAGCAAGTAGGATTGACTTAGTAAACTAGAAATTATATGGCTGTGTATGCATATTTGCGCACCATAGGGAAGTGTGTGCATGTGGGTGGAGAGAGAGAGAGAGAGAGTTGCAATATGAAGTTAGAAACTCAGCGAACTCAATATGGCAAAGCCTAGTAGTTGGCGTATAGCAAATAGTAGTTTACCTCGTTTAGGCTCCTGATGTTGAGGAATAATTTCAATAAAACACGTATCTCTGAACGAAGTCAAAAGACATATCTTTGCAGCAAACTGCAAATAGGCATGCAGAATAAATCATGTCTTGATGCCATTACACAAGAAGAGATAATCATAAAGCCAGTCAGAAGCCAATTCGTGACAAACCAAATGTAGACAAAAGAATGAGATCATTAATCTAACATTGCGGCATAAGAATTCAAATTCTAGAACAAAACAAGCAAAATTGTTAAAGCTAGAAGGGCAATTAAGAAAATTTGTTATAGACATTGAGAGAACACACATAAGTGCACAAGACTTCAACTTTATGCCAGAAATGTAGTACTAAAGCAACTGAGTTCTTCCTTCAGGTGACTCAATCACTAAAGAAAGTTGTGCAAGAATAAACCCAGAGCCTATAAGAAGTTAGTACTAACAATCACACAAACAACAATAGTGGTTCACATGGTCTTCCCACAGTATCTGAAATCAGAAAACCACATACACACAAAAAAAAAACACCCACACACCACCCCCACCCCAAAAAAAAAAAATGAGAGAGAGAGATCGGATTCTATAGTTATTAATCTTTTAATATCCTTTTGTCCTGAATTTCACGCCAACTGTCAAAAGGGTCACGATAAATGCCATGTAAAGAGTACTCTTTGAAAGCTGTGAATCGATATTTGTCAAAATCAAAACAACCCCAAGGCACATGCTCACAACACTAAAAATAAACTAGTTAATGCTAACCAAGGACAAAATGCCTGCCTTAAAAGATAAACCTGGGCATGCCCCTGGGTAGTGGGGTTGGAAAACTTTCAAGGCTTCCACCTTTTGGGCGTTCTAGACATGCCACTCATTGTTATAGCCATTTGTGTCTCATCAGCCCCGATTTCTAGAGATGCATATTAATTTCCACCATGATGCTCAACAAATCTTGTCACCATCGGGGACCAATTTCACCAACTTGGAACTATGTCATTCACTTTGCAAACACCACTAGGGTTCATTTGATACAAAAATCAGATAACTGAACCAACCTGACCTTGTTAATACTGAACCTCAGGGGGCATTCCCCCTCTCCTTGTGAGATGAAAATCTTCTTTTTATCCATTTTCAAGCACAAGTTCCCAAAACAAAATAGATGGCCGCATAACAAGATGTATTTTTATATTGCCCCATTCCACAAAAATGTAAAGGCTCATCCTTGCTCAATTTTCGTTGCCCTCTAAGGATTTCCAATTCAAAGCACCAACGAAAAAGAAACATAAAACACCTTGTTCATCAGAGTGCATCAAATGAATGGAAGATGTCTAAAAAGAAGAGAGATTGGGAAAACTCGTATGAAATAAACAAAATACATGTTTTACAGAAAAATATTAGACCTTATCAGCTGCTGCTTGTAGGGTAACATGGTCCCCCCATTCACCGGATCTGCAATAAGTGTGAATCAGAGCAAGTACAGAAATCTCCTTTAGCTAAGATCGGTCAAGTACTATCGAGCAGCAATTAAATGCTTCTTAAGCTGCAGAGAACTATAGCGCCAAATAATAAAGTAATCACTCTCAAGAAAGTACCCTACTTAGCCATTTTCTTGTAATAGCGTTTGTACTTCATTGGAACATAGCCTTCATAAGAAGAACGGCAGTCCTTAAGCTGCAAAAGAAAACATGTAATATAACATGAGCACCCAGGAATAATGCTTTCAATAATACACAAAGCTTGTATGAACTTTGACGCAACTTTTGCCGCCCTCCTCCCCCCCAAAAAACAAACATAACAAAGCAAATGCAGTAAATAAAACAAAGGGAAAAAGCAAAGTAGAAAAAAAAATGGAATGTGGAGGGCAGTATGACCATACTAAACTCATTGAACAAGCATCTCCATAGTAGTAGGGATTAACTGCAATAACTGCATACCGTTATCCAATAATTGACCCCGACAAAAAAATTGACAATGTAAAAAGAGTATGCATGCCATCAATATTTTTTTTTCAACTAGTACAATAGAATATCAATCTTAATATTTCATGAGGGTGCTGAAAACAACAGTGATGAAGGTGGTAATGGTGGCTGTGGTAGTAAAGTATTACTAATGATGATGGTAGAGTGGTGGCAGCAATTGCGCTGAGTTGATGGATTTGGAAATCATTTATAGTACGCTGCCAGTGATTCTTGGTTATGAATTTTCAGTCACGTCCACAAAGCATTGGGTGTCAGTGGTGAAGGCCCAGGAATGGTGGCAATGATCATGATAACTGGACGTTGAAAGTGAAAATTACCATGGAAGATTGGTAGTAAGAAACTGTTTCAGCTCAGGGTAGTTTAGCAATCATGGAGGTGGAGATGGGTTTCCAGCCTCCAGGGGACAACATGTTGTGGCAAACATGCCGGCAGGAGGTATTTTGGCATGATGCTAAGAGAAAGGAGGTTGTGGGGATACCGATCGCAATAATATGTGGGCCTATCTGCAAAGAAGGGTGCTACATACTGTTAGAGATGTAGTGAAGATCTTCTCATTTTTTTTATTATTTATTTTGCCTCATCTGTGCTAGTAGAATCTGCAATTAGCATCCCTTAGATTTGGGGGAATTTTGGCCCCACTTAGAGGTCTGCGACTAGGCTGCAAAACAACTGAATTGTTCATGAACTACTCCTGCACACTTGTAAAGTGAGTTTGTCCATGAGCAACACTTTCAGCAAATGCAGCAAGCTTAAGCCCAAATGAAGACTAGCTAATTAAGAAGTCATGCATGAACAAACCTAGGTTCGACTCGTAAAACCTAGTTGGCTATCAAAAGTCCCAATGTGTATTTACTGCCAAAAAATGTTCAGATTGTTTCATGTGTTACATATACTAGGCTCTTACTACTTCACGTTTTGTGTTTAACAGCAAAACTACGTGAAATCCAACTTGTAAACTAGTTTTTTTTTCAGTTATTATTATTGTTACCCTTCCCCAGCCATCCAAATATTTTCCACCTGTTCCATTAATTTTTCTCTCTCCCTTAGAAGTTAGAGCTTTCAGTTTCAGTTGGTTGTTGTGTCTGAAGGAGAAACAAGTGTTATGAATTGTCAAGATTATGAGATGCTTTTAATAAAGAATGTGGACTACAACAATTTCTTGGTAATCTTAATGTTAATCCACTACAGTATGCTACATCTTCATGTGCTTTGACAGTTTTCAGACCTAGAATTTTAGATAAGTCTCATCCAGATATAGGCCCACTTCTCCTCTAACTCTCCTGCCCCCTTCCCTCTCAATCTTTTTGTACCATTATACAAATTTTTTTTTTACACCAAAAACCAAGCCAAGCCAAGTCAATCTCAACCATGTATGGGAACATGAAAGCTAATCTTGAAGATGCTTGGGAGAGCTTGGCCTTGCTCAAACAGACTCTAATCTACCCAAGCCAAGCCCGCACAGTATGTTGGTCTTGGTTCATTTGCAGCTCTAGATGAAAACCCCAAAATGAGACTGGAACTTCTGGGGGTGAAATCAACCACTCCCCCCACCAAAAAAAAAAGAAGCCAAAACAGAAAATTTTAACCAAAATGCCACACAAGCCTTTTGACCACTTAAAAGAAGCTCTTGTAATTCCAACCTGTTTAACCACCTCCTTCCGAACATGCTTGTGATACTCAGGTGATCTGTAAATCTGGTCTGACAGTGCACGAAACTGAGAAGAGAATTCTAAATTCAATAGATAGCTAAACATGATATTCCCAAAATATAAAGAAACTGAACGAACTTGACAGTATTCCCTAAATACAAAGAAACTGAACCAACCTGACAGTTTCCATCCCCAGAGACCTTAACTTCATATAAACCATAAATATTTAGCCTGAGAAAAAAGCAATAAAACAAAAAATCACTTGATCTCATCAAAGATGAGGACAGCTGCAAACAAGACTGTTCCTGATGAAGAACAAGTGTTTAAAAATCACTTGATATATATCCAAGATGAGGAACTATTGAAAATGTGAAAAAATCGAAAGGATTTTACATGTGGATCTACACACACATCCACATTTAACCACACATAAGAAACACACACATTACACATATATATAAAGAGAGACACCCCTGTATGCATAGAGAGAGAGAGAAAGAGAGAATTTTAATAACATGGATCTCAATTCATATAGTGGCAGTAATAATGTGTATAGATAGAAAGGTAGCTGGAGCATCTGCTCTGCTTGGATGATTTTTTTTCTGTTGCATTGCAGATTACTATAAGTTGTATGTAGGGTTACCTCATGAGTAACCAATTTCATTAGAGGCTTGAAGTAAGCTCCAGGGCGAGGCAAGGAAAAGATAATGAACTGAATGCAATAATTGTTCAAACTACACCTTCCTCTATTGTTATGCAATGGAAGTCAATATTTTGTCCCACCGTTCCAAAAAAATTTGCAACTACTATATCGTTCTGATGATAGAGGTAGTTTAAAGTTAATTCAGTAATCTGAATTAAATAAAGGACACATTTGCATTAATAATAATTATGGCTGTTTGAAGAAAATATGCCGTACAAATGATGTCAATTATGTTTTATTAACGTTAGGAGTAAAGCGTACTTCAGTCTTTTTGCTAATTGATGTTCAAAAGCAGTAACCACAGTCCATGTGTACTATCTCAGTCCTCTTAGGCTACAAGTTTCAGTTTTAGAAACTTGGTCTGGTTATAGTAAAGAGAACCCCAGCAGCCTATAAATATCTAAATGCCCTGCCGATATGCATACATACATATATATATAATGTACTCTTCCATATTGTGCTTGTGTGAATTTCGTACTCTTGGGAGGAACATGTTTGATTGTGTTCATCTTCTTCATTCTTCATACTGCCTTATAACCAGTATTCCGACACTAAAACCACTCCTTTCAACATAAAAACCCCCAACTTAGTGAGCTGAACCCTTTCATTCATTAATGATTAACCATCAAACCAACCCTAAAATTGATATATAATCAGAAGTGCTACTCTCGAATTACTGTTCAGAGCCCCAAATTAGCCTCTGTTTCCACCTCTAGCTTCTTACTCTTCCAAATTCCAATCTCTAATAAACCAATAACACATTATCTAATACTTCGTCCATTTACTTTACACCAAAAGTACTCAGAAAATGCTTATGTCCATAAGGTCATGCTTGTCCATGGAAATTTATTTCTCAAGGATTGTGTTGTGGCTCTCACTATATTAAATTCGTACTTGGGAATGGGAAACAATTCGTTTCTGGGAAGAAGAGTGGAGGGGAACAACTCTTCTTCAAATTTTTTTTCCTTGATTTTATCATTTATCCCACTCTCACAATGTTCCAATGGCCTCTATGGTATTGTCCTTTTCTCATCCTATTAGTTGGAATTCCAATTTTATCAGAAATCTTTACCAATAAATGTTAAAAACGATTATGACATACCTCTGAAGCAGTCGTTGGTGATCCAAACTAGCATCATTGAGGTTGGGGATGTAGGAATTTATCCGTGGGACATGCTGAAATTCAAAGAAGTCAATGTACAAAAGGATTGCAAGTTTATTTCAAACGTAAAGGATAGGGGCACTTCAATCTTAGCCGTACCAGATCCAAGAATTAAAAGATTCAATTAAACAACCAAAGTAAGAGAAACTTCTTGAGCCGGAGTGCTATAGCGAATTATAGGTATAAATTTTAGCTTAAACTTTGTAGTTTGTCAAGGATAATATTCCTTGAAAGAAAACTGCTAGCTTTTATTTATCTCGAACCTGAAATGCCCAGCAAACAAACCGATTGTTCTTAGTAGTTAAAAGGCATGTCCATGAGATGAATCATGAAACTATTTGCAATCACCTGCAAGAGTCTGCGTCTCCGCAAAACAAAAACAGCAGAAATCTTCCTAACAATGATGCAAGAATACCAAATGCAACAAAAGCATTTACAACTGCGCACAGTGCAACATGGTGTAAATAGTGTTTTATTAGAAATTCGTGAATATTGGGACCATTTTATTACAAATAAGCCAATATTGGGATCAGTATTCAAATATACAACTTAAAGATATTAACCAGCACGCAATCAAGGTTAGGGGGTTTGGGCAGGAGGAGTGGAGTATTACTACTCCCCAGAGTGATGAAATTGCATGACAAGGTAAACAATGTGGTACAACGTCCAAGATCAAATGATAAACCTACGAAGATCCCAACAAACATTTTGATACAATGTTTTGAACTATTCATAGCCATTACACATTGAATCAATTTGGTTATTTTCTTGGCCCAGCCCGTGCCTCATATAGGGTGATAACTTGGATGGGTTAGCCCAAGCCCAAAAGACAATCTTCAGTACTTCGTAAAATTTTTCAGTAAAGAGTTGTGCTTGGACAAAAAAATCACGACTCAATTTAATTTTAAGCAATACTCGGATTCCCAAATTAGTGAACTTCAGGTTCAACCCAAGTTCAACCAAGTCTGGTTTGAGTTGTGTAAATCAAGAATCAAATTTAGACTCCACCCGAGTTGACCCCGAACTGAAATTCTAGCTGGATTGTGGATCCCGAAAAGCAATCTGAAATGAATCATATTTCAACCCGAATTCAAATAATTAAGCAAAGGTAATACCAGAATTTGAGGGCTTCAGATTGAATTGGGGTTAGGGTTGAACTCAGGTTGAGGACTGTATAACTTGGGTTGACCTATCAAGCCGCCCAACCCATCCGAGTTGCATCCCTATTCTCCTATCAGTAAAATTTATCATCGACCTTCATTGTTATTGTTAGTGTTGTGTCTTTAGGAATAGACATGAGCTTTAAAGAAGCTTTCAAAAACAAGAGAACCTACAGTAAACTTCAACTGTCATGGTTTCAAAATTTTTCTTTAATCAGACAAACTGAAAACAAAAATAACACCTTTTGCCAGAGGCCACCGGTCAATATCCAATATCAACAATTTTTCAAATTGGAAAAAAGTCTATTATATGCTCCATATTCAAGGATGATTTCTAATGGGCTGATTGATAGTTATATACCCGAAGAGGGATATCAAACCAGTAAGGCTAAATCCCTCGAAGTATTGATCACCAAGTAACTTACCCGAACAGGTTCCAGGTTGGAAAGCCGCCGGCCAACCGCACCATCTAACTTAGCATACTCTTCAGATAGTACAACAGCTATCATCCTGTCATCCTCAACATCCTGTTGACTACTTACTGAAGTTGAGCTGGAAGATTCACCGATGCTATGAGTTCCATTGTTCATTGGTTTGGTGAGCAACAGCCTAAACGATCTCTATGTGATTGATAGGCACAAGAATAAAATATCTGCTGCAAGTGAAAAACTCAATTGATTACATATCATTCCATTTGTGTGGCTTTTGAAGTTAGTAAGCAAGATGATAACATGTTTTGAGTTGTCACTTTTATAGCATGCAACCATAACATAATATCAAGTGGACAAAAAAAAAGAAAACGATCAAATGTGCATGTATTCTGAGAAATTAACGTTAAGTTATGTGGACAATCTGAGAATCATATGATATAAGTAACAGGAGTGTGACCTCCACAACGGCAAACAAGTCCAAAACAAGTGAGATCTTCCGATCTGCGTGAATGGGAGCAGCTTAACAAGGACGCTATGCACGGGCAGAGCAACACAACTCTTTTCCCCCACACAATTTTTTGTTGCAAAAATTTTTTTAGACAGGTTCTAATATAACCAAAATGTGTCCCCATTGATCTATTTAAATAATATCTTACATTTGAACACAATTTCTTAACTCCCAAATAATTCAAATTCAATAACACTTGGGGTGTGTATGGTAACCGTTCTACTTTTGTTTTCAGTTTTTGTCAAAAAAAAAAAAAAAGATAGTGGGTTTTGGTATATGTTTTCGTTTTTTTTTTCCATCCAATCTGTTTTGACAACAAGTCCAGATATTGCAAACAAAAATTGATGTTTTCAAAAACACCAAAAAACACAAAACATGCACACGCTTGGGAGGGGTTTAATGAGATCTCATCTTTGAACTCCATTACCAACAAAATTCATGTTTTTTTGTTGGAAGTATAAAAGCTCTCCTCTCTCTTTTTGGGTCTGTGTGTTTCACAAATAACGGAAGAATCTTTCCTTTCAAAACGAAAGAGCTCTCATCTCCATCTTAGATATGTTCATTTTTCAATCGATCTCTCATATCTAAAGCTCAAATCTACTTAGGTAATTTTTTTAACTTCAAAGCTTAGATCTGCTCTCCTTTCCGTAATTTTTTTTTTTTTAAACTTTATACTATATATATGTGTGTGTGAGCGAGTTTGTGAGTAGATTGAGTGTGATCAGTTATGTGGATCGAATGTGTGGATCTGTGTGATAGAGTGTAAAGATTGGGAGTTTATATGAATTATTTATATGTATTGTTTTCGTGTTGGCGATTATATTAGATGTTGGTTTTCTTGTTGGACAATTATATGTGACGTAAAGATTGGAGGCTGGCTTTCTTGTTGGCCGATTACATGTAATGTAAAGATTGGATTTTAGCTTTCTTGTTGGCCGATTATATGTGATTTCCTATTCTGGCCAAAAGACAATTTTTTTCTTGGTAAAATTCTTACTAGTTTCATCAAAGGATATAAACACACACACACACAATGCCCATTAAATGTGTAGTATTATGGATTAAATTGTATTATTGGAGATGTCATTATACATTTTTTTTTCATGTGTAGTATATCAAATTGTTTGTGGTTATGGTTGGAGTTTTTGTAGATGAAAAATGTTGATGTTGTGGCTAACAAAATTGAAGGGCTATGGCAGTTAAGAATGAAGCCATTTTTGTTGATTTTATGGATTTGGAAGTTATAGATGGGAATAGAGGTCCATCTACTTCTAACAAATCTACTTGGAACAAAATAACACAGCAAATGAAAGCAAGAACGGGTTATCCATATACCTATGACCAGCTGTGAAACAAATACATTAAGAACAACTTACGATGTATTCTAGAAGTTGTTGAACAAAACAACTTGAGTAGGTTGGGATGCGGAGAAAAAACCCATTGTTTTGCCAGATGATGTGTGGAAAAAACTGTGCTAGGTAGCCCACTATTTAAAATGTTTTACAATATGTCTAGTTTTACAAAAGGTTAGTATTGATTTTTTTCATTTATGCTAGGTGAACAAGCCTGCGAGACAGTTCAAGAAAAAAGGTTGTCCTCCTTATAACAAGCTGTGCAGAATTTATGGTTAGACAAGTGCAACCGATAAAATTGCTCATCCCTCAACCCTTCATCTGATAACAAGAAAGAGAAAGACTCGACATTTGACCCTACACATGAGGTTGATGATGGTGAGAACAATAAAAATGATGATAAAGATACAATCAACCATTCTCGTAGTAGGTCTACCACTCCAAGCAACAATCCTCGCAGGAAGGAGGATAGTTATGGCTTAGCCCTTTCATATGCCCTTAATGTGTTGGTTGAATCTTCGAAGAAGAAGACAGAGTATTTGTATTATAAGATGTCTGGTGCTACTGTGATGATAGCTTCGTGTGGAGATAGTGAGGCTAATACATATAAGAACGTAGAAGTACATACCCACAACATGTTGTACCGTCCATAACTTCATAAGAATGAATTCTCCCCAATATGACTTTGAACAAAAAGAAGATGTTGATGATGATAGAGGTGATGTAGGATGTAGTTCAGAAGCCCCAATTGAAATAGATATAAGCCTAAGTTAGTTGCGTGAAGTAGCTCATACCAGAAATGTCAATGTTGATGAATTGTGTGCAACAACTCATCATTGATACATATCCTTTTTAATCAATGCTATATTCAAATAATTATTATGTCTAATGTCTAGCGTACTGCAATGGCACCTATTGGCCCTCCATGCTCATGTGAATCTGGTAAATGAATGTGTTGGTTGCGAGGACCAGAAAAAATAATATCTGACTTTTTATCGTTGTCCACGATGACATGAGCATGATGATTGTTTCATTTAGGTTGATGAGTATAATGCATTCAAAGATGAACAAAATGTCATCCCACAAGCCCAATCACGAGGGGGAGAAAAAAAATAGATCAGTATTTTTATGCTTACTTCTTGTGGTTTCAATTTGATATTGTATCGTGCACTACTTTTCTAAATATTTGTACTACTTGTTGGGATTTTAGTTAAGTGATTATGACATACAATGGTATTTGGTAGAATGTTTAACAATGGGATACATTAGTATGTTTAATGACTTTTAAGGATTTTTTACTATTTTGTTTTGTGCCTTATTTGATGTGTTGATGAATATATTGGGATAATGAATGCTAATTTTTTTTTTTTAGGGAATCACTATACACCTACAACATATGACAGATATTAAAGTGGTTACCAAACATATTTTTCTTTTTTTATTTTCAAAGTTTCTCAAACAATAACTGCAACCAAACAAGTTTTTTGTTTCAACTTTTACAACAAAAAAAAAAATAAAAACTATTTCCATTTTCATTTTATTTGAAAATAGAAAACATTAATAAACGCCACCTTAGTTAGTTGAATCCATCAACATGTTTTCAAGAATCATTTTGAAGCTCTTTGCCCTATCTCTCCTTATATCTTACCCTATCTCTCACTGTTGTAAATTTGAATATATTGAATAATAAAATTATCATATAATATGTTTATACTATGAAATAATTGTAAAGGTAAAGTTGGTCTATTATGAGTAAATTCATATATCTTTTACAACAGAAAAAAAAAAAGTCACAATTCGCTGACACAAACAATTTCCAATAAGTCAATAAGCATAACTAAGTGGATATAATACAATTACGGATTCCAAAGGGGCATCACCCGTACTAGAAATAGAAGCTAACCAAACCAAATCAAGTCTTATGTCTCAATCATTTGGTGTCGAATATATGAGTCTGTCTTTACCATTCATTTCGGTTATACACTATACGCTCATTTAAATTAAATATTTTCATATATTTTCTTAGTATTTCATTCAATGTTAATTTAGGTCTACGCCAACTCATACTACCATTAAGAAAAATTATATCACTTTTTTCTAATTGGTGTCTCTATCGGCCTCCGTTGAACATTGTTAAACCATTTTAATCTATTCTCTTTCAACTTGTCCTCAATTAGAACTATTCCTGTCATTTCTCTAATGTGGTCATTTCATAGTCAGTCCTTTCTAATTTTTTTACACATCCACCTTAACATTCTCATTTCTGCCACACTCATTTTGTCACTATGTTATTTTCTAATTGTCCAACATTCCGTTCTATACAACATTGTTGTTCTGTAAAACTTGCCTTTCAATTTTATTGGTATCTTTCTATCACACAATTTTTCAGACACTTTTCTCCACCTAAGTCAACTGGCATTGATTGATTTTATGAGTTATATTGTCTTCAATCTCTCCATCACTTTTAATGATTGATCCTAGATATCTAATATTTCACTCGTTGGTATTTCTTGATTTTCAATGTTAACTTTTTACTATGTCTATTTCTTTTATTACTAAAATTGCATTGCATGTATTCATTCTTGCTCTTACTTATTTTAAACCGTTTTGAACTCGTATCTCTTCCAAATTTTTAGTTTATTGTTAATCCTCTGTTCGAGTTTCATCTACTAAAACAATATCATCTGTAAATAGCATACAACGTGGGAGATCTTATCTTAAATGTACCTAATAAGTTCATCCATAATTAGGGCGAATAAGTATAGACTTAGGGATGATCCTTGGTGTAATCTAATCGAGATTGAAAATTTTTTACTTTCTCTTACGAAATATCTAATTGTAGTCGTAGCTCATCATACATGTCCTTTATCACTTCAATATACCTATTCGTCACTCCTTTTGCTCTCAAACACCCTCCATATTATATTTCTAGGCACTTTATCATACGCCTTTTCAAAATCTATAAATACGAGAATTTTCTTTTTCTATCGATACTTTTCTCTGAGTCCTTAATAAACATATAACCTCCATAGTTGATCTAAGCATAAACCCAAACTGATTCTCCAAAAGTGTTGTCTCAAGCACTAGTAATAGAAGCTGATAAATGCAATTAAGAAGAAGCATGGAAGAAAGAGTCACGGTGGCGATTTACAATAAACATAATAGATTCCGACATTTGACAAGCGAATAACCTAATCACACAAAATTCAAGCCACTTCACAAATGAATTCAACATGTAAGAGTTCCGTAGCCGTTGAAAAAAGAAAGAAAAGAAGAGAGAGAGAGAGACCCAAACAAAATACAAAAAGGACTCTCATAGAATCGACACAAGATGTGCGATCGTGAAAATATATACATCAAATA